GGGGGGGGGGGGGGCTGGTGGACACTCCACTGGCCAGTTGGTGGCCAAGGCAACCACAGGAGGACGCTTGAGACCGGACATCCTGTGGGATTCAGGGTGCAGGCTCTGGGGTTGGCTGAGTCATGATCACTGTACCACACAACCTCCAACGTCTAGGACATGTTTGGGATGAGGAGCCACTAACTACACAGAACAGGCATCACTCAAAACTGTCCTGAGCCAGCCAGGACACATGATGACCCTAACATGAACATACAGAAGAAACACAAGTCACACTATCCAGGGCAGGGCCTCCCAAAGTTCTGAGGTGAAGGCAATATTTCTCCAATCTACCGTGGTCAGATCCTTTTATAAAATGCAATAAAAGTGAATGACTAGAAAAGCAAAAACAGGCCGGGCTCGGTGGTTCAGCCTGTAATCCAGTGCCTTTGGGAGGCTGAGATGAGTGCATTGCTTGAGCCCGCGGGTTTGAGACCCGTCTGGGCAACTTGGTGAGACCTCATCTCTACAAGAAATCAAAAAATCAGCCGGGCATGGTAGCATGCGCCTGTAGTTTCAGCTACTTGGAAGGCTGAAGCGGAAGGATCACCGGAGCCCCGCAGGTCGAGGCTGCGGTGGCTGGGAGCGGCTACTGCACTTCATTCTGGGCGACAGAGTGAGACTCCAACTCAAAAAAAAAAAAAAAAAGAAAAGAAAAGAAAAGAAAAAAACATATAAAATACAAACCTACATTTTTTTATTATGAGACACAACACATCCTTCCAGAAGGGGAGGACCCACAGCCCATGGTTCACAGGGCCTAGAGCCAGAGCAAGGTCAGCAGCAAAAGCAGCAGCACTTGGTGGGACCTGGAGGTGTCTGGGTAGGACCCAGAGGGACCTGGGCGAGACACGTTCAAGTGAGAGTTGGCCAGGATCCTCTGAATCCAGTCTGTGTAGGTTGGCACGTGGGTGTAGACGCCGGGCCGGAATGGCCGAGCACAGCCAAAGCCCCAGCTCACGATTCCCACCTGGATCCATGTGTGGTTGATGGTGCAGACCAGCGGCCCCCCGGAGTCACCCTAGAGGATGGAGGGCATGAGACCTGAGATGAGGAAGACACCCGGGTCCACGAACCTGGGAGCATCCACTGCTGAGGCCACAGGATCTGAGCAAGGACTCTGGCCCCCCCAGAGACCCTAAGGTGTGGGATGTGGGGACAGAGCCCAGGACAGGGTGAGCCTGAAGAGCCCACAGATCTGGACCGGGTGGCCAGGAGCTGCTGTCACCTGGCAAGAGTCTTTCTTGCCCTCGACAGAGCCGGCACAGAGCATGTCGTCTTGGATAAGGCGCTGGCCAGCCAGGCTGGGCTCCCCTAGATGGTACATCAGCTCGCACTTGTTTGAGTCCAAGAGGGGCACGGCTACCTCCTGCAGGACGCTTGCCTGGGCTGGACCAGATGGAGGGCCCAGCCTGAGTCCCCTGGAGCCTCGACCCCACCAGGTGAGCCCCCTCCTCTTACCTGTGAGGGCAACAGCCCGGACCTCCCACCTCTTCTCTGCCCAACCTCCTTGCCCCTTCCAGTCCCCAAAGCCAGGAGGTGGGAGGTCAGGTAGCAGGGGTCAAGCCCAGATTCTCCACCTGGGAGTTGTGTGACCCTGGTTAATCTCTTGGCTTCTGAGCCTCGGCTTACATCCTGACAGTGGGCAGAGTCTGAACATTGGCACAAGATCTCCCAAATCTAACATGGTGATCACCTTGGCCAAGGGGAGTCCCGCAGTCTGGGCAGCATGGCCCCTGGCCTCAAGCGCTCCCAGCTCCCGGGGGAGTGGTGGGGAGGGGAGAGAAGATGGCACACAGGGAGAGGTAGACAGCTTGCAGGCAGGGCACGGGCAGGCGGGAATCCCAGGGCCTAAGGCCCTCAGTATTTCCCTGGTGCCAGCCCTCCCTCACCAAGAGTCAGGCTGGAGAGTGCCAGGCCCCTTACCTCTCCCTTGGGTAGACCCCCAGCCCGTTACCCAGCATAGGGTCCCAGTGGCGAGGGGGGCGTGGGGTGCCGGGAGGCAGACGGGGCTGAACTGGGAAGGCTGCACGGGGGACTCCAGCTGCAGGAGGGCAATGTCTCCGCCGTGAATGGTCCCGTGGTACGAGGGGTGGACCAGGAGCTTCCTGACGGCCACCAAGACCGAGTGCGGCTCCAGAAGGGACCGTGTCAGCCCTCCGACCTTAACGTGGTAGAGCTTGGGATCCAAAGACCTAAAAGGGACAGAGATACAGCCTTCTGAAGCAGACGCGCGTGGGCGGTGAGGGGTGCCCTGGTTGCCCTCTGGCCAGGCCAACTCACCTGAGGAAGCAGTGGGCGGCCGTGAGCACCCAGCGAGGGTGGACGAGGGAACCCCCACAAACGTGCCCCTGAGCAGTCACCCATAAGCTAACCTGCCACGGCCAACGTCCTTCCTGGGTGTCTTGGCCCCCCACAATCCTGTGGGCATCTCTGGAGTGGCCACACCCTGTAGAGAGATGGGGGGCGAGGGGCGTCTGCTCCCTCCCATCCTTAGAAAGCCACTCCTCCCAGTCTTAGCCATCAGATCACACCCCTCCTCTCACTCTGCCCTAACATCTCACGTCTCCTGCCCTTGACTGCTTGCTGGGATGTCAGGGCTGGTCCTTACCCGAAGGCAGCACATCCCCATGGGCCCCTGGAAAACAAGAGGGCAGAGGGGAGCACATGGCCGGGGGTGGGGGGGGCAGGGGTAGAAATGGAGGAGTACTCCTCACCTGGCAGCAGCTGCAGCAGCAAAAGCAGGACTGGGCCTGCCCAAGGCCCCATGGCTCCTCCTCCTTTGAACAGCGCTCTGGGGTCAGCGTCCTTGGATGGCTCACGAGGGAGGAGTTGGTGGGTCATTAACCAGAGGCAATCATGCTGGAGCCCCCCTCAGCTGCCTGGGACTCTTGTCCTGTATGTTCCAGGGTGATGGCTTAGAGGAAGCCTGGGGTGCCCACCTCTGGCCAGTTCCTCCAGGAGCCAGAGGTCAGAGGACTGGTCAGTCCCCCAACTAGGCTCACGTATGGACGCCTTGCCCGTCCTGCAGGCAGCCCGGAGCCCCTGCTTATCCCCCACTTTGTCAGGGAGACCCGGGGTCTCCGCTCTCGGTTGAGGGGGCCCAGCCCCCTCTCCCCACCCCACTCGAATATGTGATGCCTGTATGACCAGCCAGGGACTGACCAGCCGGAGACTGGCCAGCCTGGCCACCTCCTCACTGAGGAAACCGCAGCTCCGTGAGAGTCCCTCTCGGTCAACCCTGTTTAAGGGGCAGGATCTCGGAGAGGCCCCTTCGTTGCCATGGGAACAAACAGCCAGAGCTCAGCCTCCAGTCCAGGAAGGGTCAACTCGGAAGACACGATGACTCCCAGGTATTACTTCCTCCCGCTGCCAGCGCTGCCCGGAGCCCGGACCCCAGTCCCAAGGCCAGGAGCAGAGGAGGCCCCGGTGTGCGCGGGAGCCAGGCGCATGACGCGCTGCGTGCCCTGCGGGGTCCCAGGCCTGGGTCCCGACGTCAGTCGGTCCCACGAGCCCACAATCGCGCAAGAAACCCCCCCAGTGGTCGCTTCTTGGCTCCACATCTACCAGTCAACACGCAGCCGGGATGCTCACGTGGCGGCCCCGCCAAGCTCATTTCGGCTTTTCCGGCTAACTCAGCCAACGGGGGGCGCTTGGGGAGGCTACGAGGCTGCGGGGCTCCTTCCGGTCTGTTTCCTCGGTGGTTTGCGGGGCGGGGGGCGGGGAATTTCAGTGGCCTTCTGGTGGGCTCCCAGTGGGTTTCCGGCGCACTTCCGGTGCACCTCCAGTAGGCTCCCCTCTGCATTTGGTTCCTGGGAGCATTACCCCAGCTGTGCTCTCCACTTAGCCCTGGGCCCTGGCTGTGACATGGGTGGTCCCTCTCAGGAGCCATCCAGGAGACGCTCCCACTGACGAAAGATGGGACAGTTGGAGCATCAGTATGGGCAATACCCTTAAGTGATTGAAATACATCAGATAAACATAAACCTGGGAGTTCATAATGTTGCAAAAAAGACCTAATTTGTCATTTTTGGATTGTTAAGGAAATAGTTCGTTATTTTGAGGATAATGAAATAGATGACGAAGAAAAACGTTTTTCTTTGTGAAAGAATTCCAGTTAATACATGAAGTAGGAATGTCACTATGTTGCAGTCTAATGGATTCATTGGTCTAAGCAATGATCACCAACTGCTTCCATCACCAGGAGAAAGCCAGTCATGATATACCCCCATAGAAGACTTTTCTGGAAAAACCTAACCTGAATTTGCTCAAGACTCAAGATCTAACTACCAATTTATAGGAAACATAGAGACAGAGGAATATGTTAGAGACATCATGAGGATACAATCAGCAAATCCAGATGGTAGGAATAAAGGACACATGACCAGAGTTATTCAACAAAAAGTGACATGGGAAAAAAGGAGATGGAGGGGGAACCACTAAAATAAAAGAAACGTAAGAGATATAGTCATTAACTGCCACGAATAAACTTTATTTTGTAAGGGAATGTTGTGAAAGATTTAAAGTGGACCAGAAAAGCCGGGCTTGGCGGCTCAGCCTGTAATCCCCGCCTTGGGAGACTGAGGTGAGTGGATTGCCTGAACCCGCGGGTTCGAGACCCGCCTGGGCAACTTGGCGAGACCTCATCTCTACAATAAATCAAAAAATTAGCCGGGCGTGGTAGCGCGCGCCTGTAGTTCCAGCCACTTGGAAGGCTGAGGCTGAAGGATCACCAGAGCCCAGCAGGTCGAGGCTGCAGTGGCCGGGAGTGGCCACTGCACTCCAGTCTGGGCGACAGAGTGAGACTCCAACTCAAAAAAAATAAATAAAATGAACCAGAAAGATTACTGGATAATTTCAGTGGGATTATCTAGCATTTCCTTGCAGGTTCTCTGGTTCTGTGGGGGAGTCCCTATCTTTATTTTTATTTTTTTAGGTGGGGGGTCCCTGTCTTTAAGTGATTTAAGACTTTGTAAATTGTATGGCTGTGTCTCATGCCTGTGATCCTAGCACTTTAGGAGGTCAAGGTGGGAGGATCACTTGAGCCCAGGAGTTTGATACTAGAACCTGGGCAACATAGTGAGACCTCACCTCTACAAAAAAAATTAAAAATTACCCAGATGTGGTGGCACACGCCTGTGAGAAATGAACTCACTTGTCCAAAATCAAAAGATGGACACGGAGACATGGAGTGCAGCAGAAGTGAGACTTTAATGACAGTCTTGTAAGATCGGGTGTCTGGTGGGCAGACACACAGACTGTTACAGTCAGCATATTTGTAGCCTAGAACGCTAGTCCCTCCCCTGGTCTCCCATAGGCTGGGCTCCACGGGGCCCACAACTTTTTCCGGGAAGTCACCTACATGACACACATCAATTGGGTCACATAATTCGTTCATTTACATGTCCTATTTGCTGATTGATTTACAGGATTTCATTTTGATTGATTCCCTCCAAAATTTGAACATAAAAGCCCGCCAAAGTGAAAGCCCATGAAAAAGAGAACAAAGAAGCAGGAAGTGACTCAGCAAAGGCATTTAAACATGGCTCAACATGGCTCAGGGTTCATTTTGAAAATAAATCATTCTACTTCTTAAATGTCTGTAGTCCCAGCTATGCAGGAGGCTAAAGTGAAAGAATTGCCTGAGCGTAAGTCGAGGCTGTGCTGAACCATTATTGTGTCACTGTGCTCCAACCTGGGGGACAGTGAGACCCTGGCTCAAAAAAATGGACACATGTTCATATTATATTTGTATAAATCATGACTTTATCTTTTTCTTTTCTTTTTTTTTTGAGTTGGAGTCTCACTGTGACACCCAGGCTGAAGTACAGTAGCACACTCCACCCCAGGGCTCAGGCGGTCCTTTTGCCTCAGCCTTCCAAGTAGCCGGAACTATAGGCACACACTACCATGCCAGGCTAATTTTTGATTTATCGTAGAGATGAGGTCTTGCCCAGGTGCCGGACTGGTCTCGAACCTGCGGACACAGGCAATCCACTCACCTCAACTTCCCTAAGTGCTGGATTACAGACTGAGCCATCGAGCTCGGCCACTTCTATCTTTAAAAAATTATCTTTTAGCTGGGCTCGGTGGCTCAGCCTATAATCCCGCACCCTTGGGAGGCTGAGGTGAGTGGATTGCCTGAGCCCGCGGGTTCGAGACCCGCCTGGGCAACTTGGCGAGAACTTATCTCTACAATAAATCAAAAATCAGCCGGGTGTGGTAGCACGCACCTGTAATTCCGGCTACTCGGAAGGCTGAAGCTGGAAGGATCGCTGGAGCCCAGTGGGTCGAGGCTGCGGTGGCCGGGAGCGGCCACTGCACTCCAGTATGGGCAATGGAGTGAAACTCCAACTCAAAAAAAAAACAATTATCTTTTGGTATTAGTTTCCTTTAGTGTGATAATGGTCTTGTAGGCCTTTTTAATATGCCTATCTTTCAGAGACATATCCAAAGCAAAAGATCTTTGATTGGTCTTAAAAATCCAGAGTGAAAATAGCCAGTCTCTGAGTCACCCAGTTACAGTGAAATATAAATTAATACCCATGAAACTGGCGATGAGGCATGTTAGGTCAACTTTATGGCAATGCCAGCTTTCTCTAGGTTTACAAGCGGTGTGTCACTGCAGTGTATTACTTGAAATCACATGAGCAGCCCTCTTACTTGTGCTAACATTAGGCCAGTGAGCACCACTGTTGTGGGGAGACTGACAGGAACCTTTGTGAACTGTGAAAACCTACTGACCTTCTCAAGACCCTTTGATATGCAAATCTGAGTGACAGCATGAGTAAATTTGCATAGGACCAAGGAACAAGTCTAAAGGAACTCTGTTAAGCCTTTATGGGGTCCCCAGTGAAATGGCTACAACTTCCTGGTATGTGGATTAAATTCAGTATCTCTTGGCTACACGCCCCGATACACAAACTAGACAACAAGCAATGCCAACACAGACACACATTCAAAGCATTTCCTAGAACCCATATCATCACAGAACTGGAAAGTAGAAAGATGATACTGGGCATGGTAACTCACACCTGCAATTCCAGAATTTTGGAAGGCCAAGGGAGGGGGATTGCTTGAGCCCAGGAGTTTGAGATCTTGTCTCTATGAAAAAATTTTTAAAGTTGCTAGGTATGGTGGTGTACTCCTGTAGTCCCAGCTACTAGGCAGGCTGAGGTGGAAGGATCACCTGAGCCCAGGAGGTCAAGGTTGTGGTGAACCAAACCAGAGTCTGCTTGCTTGGCGCAGTAAAACCAGATATCCACACTGGGGTTTGCAGTAATAGAAAGACTTGTATCGCAGGGCCCCAAGCAAGGAAACAGGACAGCTAAATGCTCACATCCTGGCCTCCCCGATGGCTTGCAGGCAAGGCAGAGATTTCAGGAAAGCAGAAGCCACAGACAAAATCATAGATCAATACTTGAAGGTTACACATTGGTTTAAGCTTAAAAAGGTGGGATGCCTTGAAGCACGGCTTATAAGTCATAGGCAGAGTCTAAGATTTTCTGATTTACAATTGAATAAGGAAGGGAAGCTTTGCTTAAAAATTGGGGGTCAGTAGAAAAATGTTAACTGGCTGGAGGAATGACTTTCCCCAAGCCCCTCCAGGAGAAACTTGAAACAAACGGTGATAAAGTTTAGTCCTCACTTCCCTCTTATGGGTGGTTCTCGGTGGGAGTCCAAGACTCTGAAAGACAACTCAGGGACAAACGTTAAGATGTTATCTTTAGCCGGCTCGGTGGCTCAGCCTATGATCCCGCGCTGCTGAG